AGGGTCGAGAAGTGAGCTTACTTTCCTCAAGTTTATTGCGGAGAGAGGTCGGGTGCTCGAGCAGATGGTGGTTGTGCTGGCCAGTGAGTGTTTCTCCTCGGGGGACGTGAATGCGAAGCTGAAGCCTCTGGCCAATGCGAAATGGAGCAGCAGAGCCTGCAAACTAGAGCTATTCAGGAGCCCACTCACAAATGTTTCTGGTCCTCTTCACAACCACGAACTAGCTGCTGATTTCGGGTTTGCTGACCCTTTTGACCTCAAGTACTACTCCAAAGCAGAAAGGATCTCTGTAAGTTGATTAGCAGCTCTTGTACAAGTACCTATTTGGCAAGCTGTGAAATGCTTGTTTCTGTGAAGCGAAGTTTTGTGTGGGATGTGGCTGGACGCGTAACACATCAAATTATATCGTCTTCACCTTTATTTTGGTTATCTAGTGCTAATGATCTTTGTGGTTATTTATCTAGCGCTATTTTTTGTGTGGGATGTGGCTATCTAGTGCTAATGATCTTTCTGGTTTGTCCAACTGCAATTTCAATATGTTGTGCAGTTGCTGTTGTTAGTGCCATGAATTAACCTGCTATCCATTAGGTTGGCCTCAGCTCAAAAGAGTACTATACTAATTAATCACCACAAATATGGTCTTCAGTTTTGATTTTCACAAACTTTTACTACATGTTTCTTTTGTAAATTATTACTGATTACTGCAATTGGACAGAGATCTGGGAAACCTTCACTAAACAGGATCAATATCATTACCAGAAATGTAGTTCTACTAGCATCGCAAGTTAAGCATGGAACCGTCATGTTCGGTACCGAACCAGAAGTAGGTGACCAGGTCATTCACGCTGGAAATGTCAAGCCAGCAAGTGCACTACGAATTGCAATTTTATTGTCCAACTGTAATTTTAATATGTTGTGCAGTTGCTGTTGTTAGCAGCATGAAGTAATCTGTTGGTCTCAGTTCAAAAGTCTACTAATTAATTACCACAATTATGGTATTTAGTTTTGATTTTCACAAACTTGTACATGGTTCTTTTGTAAAGTACTTCATTACTGATTACTGCAATTTCATGGAGATGTGCGTGCCGCTCAGCGTTTGTGATGATTTTCGTATAGGTTTGCATAATTAACTAGGCAACTTTATGGTTTCTGTCCATTTTTTTAATTAATTAGGCAACTCTTATCTTCTTGTCATTTGGAAAAAATATTAATGGCTACGGATCAAACTGCAAATGTCAAGGCAGCAAATGGACCCGGAATTGACAGCTGAACTCCAGAAAATAAGCACACCATCAAACGCACTCCTTCACAGCCGATTGACCAGATTCAGCTTTCGGTTTAACGAGGCGTTAGATTTCCATGGATCATTTTTCTTTTCTTCAAACAAGCGACTAAGCAAGTGTAAATGGACTACACTGTTGCCAGAACCAACCAAAAAGATAGATACTGCCAAACAAATAAGCACAATGAACAAACCATTCTCTTCTCTCTTCTTGCAATTTATAGTAAGAAATAATGATGCGGGATGAACATATCAGTTGGCTATCATGTTGTGTGATGTCATATGTTTAACCATATTGTGTGGTCCAGTTGCTTAATACCTTTGTGAGCAATTATTATTTATTCTATGCCATGACACATATACCATCTTGTGATACTATGCTTCAAGTTATCTTGTTTATATATCACATGGTGTGCAAACATGATTTACCTGTTTATTATTCATTTTGTCACACCCCACTTTCCATAGGATTTAGGGGCAGCCTCTTTACCCTATATTTGTGCAGTATGCTTCAACTAGCACATCATTTGATCGATGCACAAATCTAGGGGAGTGCCTCCATATTTCGTAGGTAACCTTATGAGCGTTATCTATATCTTTTTTACTCAATTCATATTTTCTTCATACACCAAAAATGGGGAGACTGGAAAAGCATTTATTCCCTAAGTGGGTTTTGGTGTAACTAAGTGTATGCAAGGTTTGTTAGTCCAAAAAGGTCGCGAGCAGAGATGTATGGAGACCTCCCATTGCTAAACCAGCTACCTGATGACGTAAATTTGGAAGTTAAACCAGCTACCTGATGACGTAAATTTGGAAGTTAAACCAGCTACCTGATAATGTAATCCGAACTCGAGTATCAGGAGTCCCAACGCTAAATTATGATCCCCATGGGCAACTACTCATGCATGCCGGAACAACCCTTCCTCAACTGGCAATCTTTGTTGTGACCGGTGATTAGGCCGCATCTTAGTGGAACACGAGTGTTTGTTCCATTTTGAAAAACAGTTCTCACTCGTCTCCTGGTGTTTTTTTTTGGAAATGGTGAATAGGTTTTTTTAGGCAAGAAATGGCGAATAGTGTTTTTTAGCAAAAAGAAATGGCGAATAGGTGTTTTGGTAATTTGGTGAGTGGGAGAATGGAGTATTTAATATAGGATGTCATTCGAACTGAGAAAAAGCTATTCAATGGGCCCAAGAGAGACACTACTACTGCCGACATTTGGAACATCTCGTTAGCGACGGACATGCCGAAACACGAAACATAGCTCTCCAGAGACTGACAATAAAGATGTCTAATGGCATTTTTGAGCAAATGTCTAATGGAACGATGACATTTTTGAGATAGCTAATGGCATTTTTAAACAAGCATCTCACGGAACCATGGCATTTTTGAGCAACTGTAACGCCTAATGGCAAAACTGAATAGTGGGACACAACTAGTGGCATAAATGATGAAAACCCTTGATTCAGGAATACAGAGTCTAGGTCTATTATTTCTCCGGAAGAAAAGTCCAAATTTGTGAAACGTGATTATAGGGGCGATCGACCTGGCATTGCCATCAGGCCATATGTACACAGTGTGTGTCATGCTGCATGCATGTTGCTAAACAGTAAATGCCCCCATACTCACAGATACAATCATGCATGATTAAGCCGCTCTGGTCTCAACCCGAAAACGAGACCGTAGCGGGCTAGAGTTGTTGGGCCAATTAAAGAACTAGCGCCAAACCATGCATGCACTGTGTAAAACAGAGGGCCCGATCGAAATACATCGGTTAATACTACATGTGGGGAGCATCTCGAGGTGGACCAGCGGCCAAGATAATAGTACTATATGCCAGTACGACCCATTTAGCATTTTCGATATCGTGTTGCCTATGTACGTACTGCTAGAATAAGGTTGTTAGTACACAAGTGGGCACAACCCAAGATCCGAGATTATTGGTTTGATGCTGATAGTGCTGCAAAACTTATAATGTGGTATGCCTACAAAATTAGTCCATCAAATAGACACTACCGACAACAAACCTCCTGGAAAATGTCTGATTATCATTTTGACGTTTTGTCAATTAGAACTAGGTGTGATATCCATTGCCACTATTATTTCATGCATGGTTTTACAAAACAAGAAGGTGCACAAGTACCGTTTAAGTAAAGCTTAAGAAAAGCACAAATGACCAGACCTAGATACATGATGCAGACCATCATATGTGATAAGTTCAATAAAGCACAACATCACTAAACCAACACACCAAAAAATGTACTCCGGTCCAAAATAAGTTTCATAGTTCCATGACACTTATTTTGAAACCGGGGGAGTAAGTAGGGAAAAAGGCAAAATCGAGGTATCACATACCAGTGGAGCAAAGACGGTAGGGGTCGGTTGATGTTCATGAGCAGGTTGTACGATAACAGAGAGATCAAGTATTGTTAAACCCTGTTACAACAAAACAGAATGTCAATTCAAAGATCGGAGAAGAAAATATATTACATGGCAGTTAGTACTCTAAGAAAATGTGAACTTGTTTTTGTAATAGCCTTGATTTTACTTCCTTGTTTTCGCAAGCACCTTTAACACAAGTTGCAAGGAGTTGGCCATCACCAGCAAAAGGGGATTATATATTTGAAAACAAAGGAGCATGACTAGAACATTAGGAGATACAACGGATCTTCAAACATGCACACTTCCATTGACAAGATAAGTTTAGAAAGCGCCCATAAGATGGCAAATAGCTTCGGCCATCTCCCATTCACTAGCTGAAGGATCAAATCTGTAATCCTTGTCAGCTTGTTTCAAGGCTTAAAATGCTGCTCTGAACGGGTAATGATGATTCAAGCATGAGATACATTAAATTCCATCTTGTAGGCACATCCAACAAAGGATGGTTTTTACAAGCAAGTTCCACCTGCACAGTCATCTCATCGAATTTCTCCATTCTACCTTGCGACCTCATGATATAGTTCACTGATTCTCTGATTCTATCAACAACCAACGCCATTGCATCGAAGCCATCTTGCACCACAACATTTCGTACGTGTGCAACACATCTAATGTGCAATAATTTTGCACTGTGGTGGACAAGATACCTATCTATCAAATTCTTCCTCAAGTGGCAAACCATGGAGCTATTAACTTGTGCATTGTCCAGGGTAAAGCTAAAGATTTTGTCTTCGATGTTTCAAATTTTTTTTTCTCGAATAGGCATGAGTGTGCGTACTATATTTTAAAGAAGAAGATTTGGTGAAGAGCCCTTCCACGTTGGTGATTACATATTACTCCCTTCGTTCCCAAATATTTGTCGACATTTCAAATGGACTACAACATATGGATGTATGTAGACTTATTTTAGAGTGTAGATTCACTCATTTTGCTTCGTATGTAGTCACTTGTTGAAATCTCTAAAAAGACGAATATTTAGAAACGGAGGGAATACAAGCTAAAGATTTTGTCTTCAGTGTTCCAATCTCTCAAGCTCTTTTGTAACATTTTTTTAGGGATCCTCTCCGGGAAACAAATAAACAATAAGCTTGAGCCAATCTGACAGACGTGAGCGACGCATTCATGGGCTGGCCCATATGAGTGAGCGCCTCTCTCATAGCAAATCACCACGGCGGACACCACACCCACTCCTCCAGAATAAAAAAACAACTCCTCCATTCCCCACTTCCTCCCCAAACCAAACCCTCGCCGTCGGCCCCCACCCCCTCCACCGGCGGCCATGGACGAACCGCAGGTCATCATCGGCACCTCCAGGAGCGATATGCTCGCCAGCATTGAGCGCAACGGCCGACACCCTGACACGCTCGACCTTGGCTCAAATCTGGCGCTCTACTTGGTGTACGGCTACCTCCCCAAGCCGCCCGTCTCCCCCACCGCCACCCTCTCGCTCGCCGGCGCGTCCTGGGTCCCCGACGCCGTCGACCGCATCAGCCTCCTCCCGGATGTGCTCCTCCGTGACATCATCTCCTGCCTCCCCGCAAAGGACGCCGCGCGCACCGCCGCCCTCGCCTCGCGCTGGCGCCCGCTCTTGCGGTCGGCGCCCCTCTCTCTTGTCGACAGCCATCTGCTTCCGGACGGTGGCGCGTCCGGGCCGTTCATCATCGGCTCTCCCTCTCCCCGCGCCGTCACCGCCGCGGTGTCCAGCGCCCTCGCGGCGCACCTGGGGCCTTTCCGCTGCGTCCACCTCACCTGCACCACCATGGACGAGCACCGAGGCGAGATGGCGCGCTGGCTCGACGTCCTCGTCGCCAAGGGGGTCCAAGAACTCGTCTTTGTGAACCGCCCTTGGCCAATTGACCTGCGCCTCCCCGCCGCCGTCTTCAGCTGCGCCTCCCTCACCCGCCTATACCTTGGCGTCTGGAGACTCTCGGACACCACCGCCGTGCCGCGCGGTGTCAGCTTCCCCAACCTCCGGGAGCTGGGCCTCTGCTGGAATGTCATGGAGGACCGTGACCTCGCCTTCATGCTTGAAAGGAGCCCCGTCCTGGAGTTCCTCGTCATCATGGCCAGCCAGACCGGAGTGCGCGTCCGCCTCGTCAGCCACAGCCTGCGCTGCGTTCCGCTCGGCCATACCTTCTTGGAGAACATCGACGTGCTGGAAGCCCCTCTCCTGGAGAGGCTCTTCCAGTGGCAAACTGTTGCCGGGGCCGGTAGCCGCGTCATGGCGAACCGCTCTTTCAGGATCAAGATTGGGCGTGCACCTAACCTGCGTGTGCTGGGATACCTTAAGCCAGGAGAGCAAGAGCTGGTCGTCGTGGTACATATCTCCATCTTCAAGTGTATCTGTGTCAGTTAATAATGCCAATATATGATCTGAATTAGTTTCTCTGTCCTTGGTTGCATAGCAGGCTGGGAGCAAGGAGAAGATTGTCCCTAGTGTCAAGATTTTGGCGATAGAGGTGCAGTTCGGTGTCCGAAATGTTCTCAAGAAAGTTCCTGGTTTTCTCAGATGCTTCCCTAACGTAGAGACGCTCCATGTCCAGGTAAATTTCGTTAACTTAACTAGATACATTTGCTGCATCGGTAATTTTGCAATGCTAGTGTCCATGTTATCTACCTCTGTTCCTAATTAGTGAATCTACACTCTAAAACATGTCTATATACATCCGTATGTAGTCTGTAGTGTAATCTCTAGAAAGACTTATATTTTGGAACAGAGGGAGTAGAATGAACTGACCACATATCTAGAACTGACCTGCTGGCCTGCTATCATGGGTTGGCTGATCTTTCCCCCTTTAGTGATAGAAACAGAGTTTGACTAAAACTGTAGTTGTGATTTCCTTCGTGTTCAGTACAGCAGTTACAGGAGTCGATCGTGTGCACAATTGTGAATAATGCGCTACATACAGGCAAAGACCAAGTTACAGGATGACTGAGCATGACATGAATAATGTACACATGGATTCGGGGAACAAGTTGTTGCAACCTGCAGTATTTTTATCTGGTACTAACAAAAGCATTCCGAAATAATGGTTCTAAATACACGTCTGCACCACTTACCATAGCAGCCACGCAGTAAAACAGGGTTTGTCACACTTGGATAGCCTATTAGTAAGTGTACTCTGTTTTGTATCGCGTCTTTTCCGTCTTAGCAGAATCATAGTGCATTCTGTGGAGGGTTCAAAGTAAGTGTAGTTTGTCTGGTAATCTTGCAATACTAGTGTCCATGTTATATAGCATTGTCAGAACTGTGAATCAGATTATTAATTATAAGATTGCTGGCATGCTGTTGTTATTGCTACTGCTGCATAATATGTCCTCATAGAAAAAGATCCCTGAAATACTGTATGCAGTTGATCGATTTCATCTGTAGTCCCCCCGCATACATGAGGAGTCCACCGGCAAGGTCAATCTCAAGTTCTGGCAGGAGGGCGGTCCCATCAAATGTGTCCTGCAGAGCATGAAGAAGTTGTTCTTCTATGAGTTTCGAGGGTTGAGAAGTGAGCTTACTTTCCTCAAGTTTATTGCGGAGAGAGGTCGGGTGCTCGAGGGGATGGTGGTTGTGCTGGCCAGTGAGTGTTTCTCCTCGGGGGACGTGAATGCGAAGCTGAAGCCTCTGGCCAATGCGAAATGGAGCAGCAGAGCCTGCAAACTAGAGCTATTCAGGAGCCCACTCACAAATGTTTCTGGTCCTCTTCACAACCACGAACTAGCTGCTGATTTCGGGTTTGCTGACCCTTTTGACCTCAAGTACTACTCCAAAGCAGAAAGGATCTCTGTAAGTTGATTAGCAGCTCTTGTACAAGTACGTATTTGGCAAGCTGTGAAATGCTTGTTTCTGTGAAGCAAAGTTTTGTGTGGGATGTGGCTGGACGCATAACACATCGAATTATATCGTCTTCACCTTTATTTTGGTTATCTAGTGCTAATGATCTTTGTGGTTATTTATCTAGCGCTATTTTTTGTGTGGGATGTGGCTATCTAGTGCTAATGATCTTTCTGGTTTGTCCAACTGCAATTTCAATATGTTGTGCAGTTGCTGTTGTTAGTGCCATGAATTAACCTGCTATCCATTAGGTTGGCCTCAGCTCAAAAGAGTACTATACTAATTAATCACCACAAATATGGTCTTCAGTTTTGATTTTCACAAACTTTTACTACATGTTTCTTTTGTAAATTATTACTGATTACTGCAATTGGACAGAGATCTGGGAAACCTTCACTAAACAGGATCAATATCATTACCAGAAATGTAGTTCTACTAGCATCGCAAGTTAAGCATGGAACCGTCATGTTCGGTACCGAACCAGATGTAGGTGACCAGGTCATTCACGCTGGAAATGTCAAGCCAGCAAGTGCACTACGAATTGCAATTTTATTGTCCAACTGCAATTTTAATATGTTGTGCAGTTGCTGTTGTTAGCAACATGAAGTAATCTGTTGGTCTCAGTTCAAAAGTCTACTAATTAATTACCACAATTATGGTATTTAGTTTTGATTTTCACAAACTTTTACATGGTTCTTTTGTAAAGTACTTCATTACTGATTACTGCAATTTCATGGAGATGTGCGTGCCGCTCAGCGTTTGTGATGATTTTCGTATAGGTTTGCATAACTAACTAGGCAACTTTATGGTTTCTGTCCATTTTTTTAATTAATTAGGCAACTCTTATCTTCTTGTCAGTTGGAAAAAATATTAATGGCTACGGATCAAACTGCAAATGTCAAGGCAGCAAATGGACCCAAAATTGACAGCTGAACTCCAGAAAATAAGCACACCATCAAACGCACTCCTTCACAGCCGATTGACCAGATTCAGCTTTCGGTTTAACGAGGCGTTAGATTTCCATGGATCATTTTTCTTTTCTTCAAACAAGCGACTAAGAAAGTGTAACTGGACTACACTATTGCCAGAACCAACCAAAAAGATAGATACCGCCAAACAAATAAGCACAATGAACAAACCATTCTCTTCTCTCTTCTTGCAATTTATAGTAAGAAATAATGATGCGGGATGAACATATCAGTTGGCTATCATGTTGTGTGATGTCATATGTTTAACCATTTTGTGTGTTCCAGTTGCTTAATACCTTTGTGAGCAATTATTATTTATTCTATGCCATGACACATATACCATCTTGTGATACTATGCTTCAAGTTATCTTGTTTATATATCACATGGTGTGCAAACATGTTTTACCTGTTTATTATTCATTTTGTCACACCCCACTTTCCATGATAAATTTTTATTATTCATGCTAGAATTGTATTAACCGGAAACTTGATACATGTGTGAATACACAGACAAACAGAGTGTCCCTAGTATGCCTCTACTTGACTAGCTCGTTAATCAAAGATGGTTAAGTTTCCTAGCCATAGACATGTGTTGTCATTTGATGAACGAGATCACATCATTAGAGAATGATGTGATGGACAAGACCCATCCGTTAGCTTAGCACTATGATTGTTTAGTTTGTTGATATTGCTTTCTTCATAACTTATACATGTTCCTATGACTATGAGATTATGCAACTCCCGAATACCGGAGGAACACTTAGTGTGCTATCAAATGTCATAACGTAACTGGGTACTATAAAGATGCTCTACAGGTGTCTCCGATGGTGTTTGTTGAGTTCGCATAGATCGAGATTAGGATTTGTCACTCCGATTGTCGGAGAGGTATCTCTGGGCCCTCTCGGTAATGCACATCACTATAAGCCTTGCAAGCAATGTGACTAATGATCTAGTCACGGGATGATGCATTACGGAACGAGTAAAGAGACTCGCCGGTAACGAGATTGAATTAGGTATTGAGATACCGGCGATCGAATCTCGGGCAAGTAACATACCGATGACAAAGGGAACAACATATGTTGTTATGCGGTTTGACCGATAGAGATCTTCGTATAATATGTAGGAACCAATATGAGCATCCAGGTTCCGCTATTGGTTATTGACCGGAAGTGAGTCTCGATCATGTCTACATAGTTCTTGAACCCGTAGCGTCCGCACGCTTAACATTCGATGACGATCGATATTACGATTTTATGTGTTTTGATGTACCGAAGGTAGTTCAGAGTCCCGAATGTGATCATGGACATGACAAGGAGTCTCGAAATGGTCTAGACATAAAGATCGATATATTGGAAGGCTATGTTTGGACACCGAAATGGTTCTGAATGAGTTCGGGCATTTTCCGGAGTACCGGGAGGTTACCGGACCCCCCCCCCCCCGGGAGTCAATGGGCCTTAATGGGCCCTAGTGAAGAAAGAGGGTTGCAGGCAAGTGGTGGGGTGCCCCCCTAGGCCCAAACTGAATTGGTTTAGGGTTTGGGGGGCCGCCCCCCTTTCCTTCTCGTCTCCATCTCCTTCCTCCTTCTCCTAGTGGGAATAGGAGGGGGGGCAAACCTACTTGGAGTAGTATTGCCCCCCTTGGGCGCGCCTCCTCCTAGGCCAGCCCTCTCCTCCTTCCCCCTTTATATACGGGGGAGGGGCACCCCATAGAGACACGCAAGTTGATTGTTTAGCCGTGTGCGGTGCCTCCCTCCACAAATTTCCACCTCGGTCATATAGTTGTAGTGCTTAGGCGAAGCCCTGCGTCGGTAACTTCATCATCACCGTTATCACGCCGTCGTGCTGACGAAACTCTCCCTCGGCCTCAACTGGATCAAGAGTACAAGGGACGTCACCGAGCTGAACGTGTGCAGAACGCGGAGGTGTCGTGCCGTACATCAACTGCGTATCATAATACTTCCGCTTTCGGTCTACGAGGGTACGTAGACATACTCTTCCCCTCTCGTTGCTATGCATCACCTAGATAGATCTTGCGTGTGCATAGGAATTTTTTGAAATTACTTTTTTCCCAGCAGTGGCATCCGAGCCAGGTCTATGCGTAGATGTTATATGCATGAGTAGAACACAAAGGAGTTGTGGGCGTGGGTATATACATATTGCTTGCCGTCACTAGTTGTTTCTTGATTCGGCGGTATTGTTGGATGAAGCGGCCCGAAACGACATTACATGACCGTGTTCATGAGACTAGTTCTACCGACGTGCTTTGCACACAGGTGGCTGTCGGGTGTCAGTTTCTCCAACTTTAGTTGAATCGGATTCAATGAACATGGTTCTTTCTGAAGATCAAAAAGCAATCACTATATCGCGTTGTGGTTTTTGATGCGTAGGTAAGAACGGTTCTTGCTAAGCCCGTAGCAGCCACATAAAACTTGCAACAACAAAGTAGATGGCGTCTAACTTGTTTTTGCAGGGCATGTTGTGATGTGATATGGTCAAGACATGATTATATAAATTGTTGTATGAGATGACCATGTTCTGTAACACTGTTATCGGCAACTGGCAGGAGCCATATGGTTGTCGATTCATGGTATGAAATGCAATCGCCATGTACTTGCTTTACTTTATCACTAAGCGGTAGTGATCGTAGAAGCAATAGTTGGCGAG